TAGATCTAGTTGCCTATACTAGCACTTTAAAAATAGGAGTATCTTGCACTAACCCTAAGTTTGAACGAGCATTCTGTTTCTTCAATAGCTATATAGAAACTAATGCTGAAACGAATCAGATGTTATTCTGCATGTAATGCATTAAGGATTATGTATGTCATATCGAGCAAAGATCATCTAACGTTCACATTTTAAAAAAAGAGTTATTTTAATGGATATTAAGTACTAAACGTGAATGTCTCCCCATGAACTTCAGAATAGAGGAATATTCCCAGATGTAGATTCTATTATCCAGAATAAAGACATACCAACTGTTTGATTGTGGATAGCCTATATGTTAGAAAAATTTCGTTTCTAATGTTTGTTTGGTTGGAAAATAGTCGATTTTCTTAGGGAGGCAGGTATGATAATTGTTTTCTTACAGAAAATACCTATTCCTAAATCTGATGAAAATGTTATTTCACTGTCTCAAGTTGTGAAGACAAAATCCTCTATTATTAAAGTGGAGGAGATGGCAGATATAGCTAATGCTAATATTCTCGATCGTGAGACTGCTGAATTTTTGAAGAACAAGCCGAAGAAGACCTTAGAAGAAATGCATTCTCTAGATCGGCATCATATTGTGGAATGTTATGAAATCCCGCCTGAATTATTGACCGAAAATTTCATTTCGAAGTATGGGGATTATAATCATATGAGATGGTTCAGAGCTTATAGGCAATTACGAGATGCTAGTACTGATAACGAAATGGCTGTTGAGGCCATCACACGCAAAGATTACAGAGAAGATAGGCTTACAACTATAACCCGGGCTGAGAAGCATCGAATTTGTCTGGAGTTACTAAGAAATTGTACACCCGTTAAAGATATTGATGATAGGACACGTTATAAAGCTAATGATGTTAAAACACGCATGGAATTCCCTGAGTCAATATCATATCTCCAGGATTTAGTATCTAAAATGGCTCGAGTATTTGATAATACAGATGCATCACATAGTGCTAAAAAATCAGGATTAAAAACAATTCGAGCGAAACTTGGTTTGCTAAATTCGGCACTACATACAACTTATGGGTTAAAGTTTAAAGCTATGGATAAACATAGCAAAGATTACTATCTAGTTGGATCATTCGATAATAATGACTCTTCTGAGTTACCACCATACCAAACAGGAAAAGAAATTTATTGAGAAAATGGTGAAGATACTCGGTATGGATATAGTAAACTTCTACCCAATGAATTATTAATGGAAAATCTTTTGGAGGAAAAACAAATCAAAGATACTCCCAGTTCTAATGTGAATACTATACTAATTGCGAAAGATATTCAAGACTTATTTGATATCACATAGGTGGACTGTTATAAAAGCAGTGTGAATTTAATACCAAGTTTCACAGAATCGAATCATACATACTTTGAGATGGAGGCTTCTTCTATTATTTCCGAAGAAGCCCCTATTCCAAGAAATATACCTGATGTGCTTTATTTATATACTAAAAATAGCGCTATTCGACTTAATGATATAAATGAAATAATATTTTTTTTTGCTTACTTTCTGGCAGATAATTCAGAGGAGATCCTTAGTGCTTCTATTTTCGAGCTAACCACTAATCCCCAAAGAGGTCAAGACCCTCATCATTCTCATCATCTGGCTCAGAAACTGGAGCTTTATAGATTCTGGATGACTTTGGAGCTGAGCCTTTAATTACAACCATATCACCTAGTATTTCGACCCGGATTGAAGTACTACTATCATCTGACTCGGAAATTGGAGCTTCAGGGATTTTGGGTTGAAGGGCCTCAGCCCCATATTTCTACCTCATCTGATAATTTAGCGAATGAAATCTACCCAAATGATCGGGACAACATCCCGTAGTAGAAAGAGTATATTTACGACAATCACTAACAAGGCAGGGTTTTTTTTCTATATTTTTACATACAATTTCCAGTGCCTATAACACCCGGTAGGATCATAGTACTTATTTCCACAAATAGTGTTATCCTTCTTAATATGTGTGCAAGTAAAGCGAGCCATGGTCAAAGACACTAAAGCAAAAGTATTTTAGGATATAAACCCTCTTTCACTTTTAATTTTATAATAAATATGTATTTAAATTAATCGATATTTTAATGAGATAAATTATCTTTTCATACTAACGCTATGGATACATTAGATCGGCCAACAGAAGCTCGCAAAAAAATCTATAATCCCAAAAGTAATCGCATGATCGTTATAAATAGGTCAGTATATTGTAAATTGTTACATGATGGATATATGTATTGGAAAGAAGAAAGGATTTTGATTTCACCTTTACATGAAATGCCAATATTAAGAAGATACTTTTCTTTCATCTCCTATCGTATTTGGGCTATTGCATTAGAAAAAAGTTTACTAACAGTAATTAACGAAAAAATAAGCATATTGCAAATTTTGCTCAAAGCTAATTGGCATGATTTCACTTTATGCCAACTACTAAAATTATGCTGGGAGTATAAAGAAACAAAAGCTTGAAGAAATGCCATTCTTATGAGATTCCTCCATCACCCGAATTTGGCCCCTTCAAAATATAGACCAGGTGCTTTATATGATGCATTTATCAAGACAAATGTTTTGGGCCGGAGCATATATTAGCTCTAGCCCAAATACTTTACTAAAATATAACTATAATATTTTGGACCTTAGATACTGAATCTACTTATAGCTATGAAATAGCACTTCTATGACTATATACTCAGTGGCTAAGGCTTATTTTTTTCACTTATAATATATACCTGCAAAATTCAAATCGATATAAATCCCTTTTTAGATATATTATTATTTCACATCCTTTGGCCTTCTGTTAGCCTTCACCGATCATGAGTGGGTCACAGAGTATCTACACATAGTGAATATTTTTTTCGAATTGAACTTTTCCTATCTAATATAATCTGACAAACAGAGATTAGTCTAACTATTACCTATATTTTACTTACCACACTAAACATCTGAACTTATTTATGCTATGGACATGATGCAAAAAAGAGTGCTCAACATTCTAACTGGTCGATGGATCGACCCAAACAAAAGGTTATTCCAGAAGTTAATTCGTAAAGGTTATAAATATGCCAACAGACTTTCTGAATATTCAGAAGATAGCAATAAATTCATATTTGACCCCTTTACGACTTCTTCCTAGTTCTAATTCCACCCCTATCTATCATAGCGAATAGATCAGATATTTGTAAGAACTTTCCTATTAGTATAGAATCTGTCGTTAAGGGTGGGATAAGCTTATTCACTATCAAAAAAAATAAACAATCATCGCTCCAGAATCTAATCCAAATGAACTATTCTAGTGATAACTTGTCTATATTGATAGGAATAATTTGGGAGCATGAAGAGACAAAAGCTTGGAGGAATAATGTACTCATAAAATTCCTCCATCATCCAAATTTAACTCCTTCGAAACATAGACCAGGTGCTTTATATGATGCATTTACTAAGACAAATGCTTTAGAACCAGAATATATATTAGCTCTAATGTGAGCACTTGATTAAAATGCGATTATGATTCAAATTTATTCATAGTGTTATAGAAAGAATTAAATATTAGTTTATTATTTTATTATTTATTATTTATTAATTATTATTTTAGAATATTATTATTATTATCTTGTATTATTA